TAATGTTAGTTCCTACCTGAAAACCTTCTTTCCCTCCCCCCCCTTCCCATTGGCTGTGACCTCCCTGCATCCCCTAATCACCCCTGCCCCCTGGTATAAGAGATAAGACCCAGAGCATTTCGCTCTCTCTCTTGCCCCGGATGGACGACAGACAATAAACCCGGGATTATTCCAGCAAGTTTGAGCCTCCTGTGTCTAGATACTTTGAGTCCGTGTTGTATCCACTCCAGGACCCCCTCCGCTGCCTGTGTCCAGAGACGAGCAGGGCTCTCACCACAGGGGGTGGGACAGAGGGGTCCCATGGGGGTGGGACAGAGGGGTCCCATCGGGGAGTAGGATTGCAACACCTCTCCTCTGCTAATTATAGAATAATTAGTTTCTGTACCTCTCCTGAAGTCTGTGCATCTGTCTGAACTGGGGGCATCATGCTCATGCAGATGTGATCTTTGGAGTTAGCACAGCGACAAGAGGATTTAGAAGCATCAACACTGATCAGGGTTGAAGTTCTTCATCCCTGTTTCCTGCAGACAGAGCATTCATATTAAGAAAGGGAGAAAGGCTGGAACTTGCCACTTGACTGGGTCCCCCTGCCAGAGCACAGCAGTAATGGAGGCATGTGGTACCACCACCATGTCCAGGCACTCAATGGTCTCCAAAACACCCTCTCTGGTGTTATGACAGCTGATGTTCATCATCAAATTTATGCCAAAGTTGGCTGCAGCAGGTAAGATAAGATTGCCTCAAACACCCTAGTGCTTTTGAAAAACTTAGGGAGTTATACGTTACCTTTGTGGGTCTTGCTGCTTTTCACATGCAAGCCAGAGTAATACCCCTTTTCCTATCAACAAGTAGGTCTGAACTAACAGAATTAACTATGGAGGGGGAAGACCTCATTGCAGTCTTCAACTTTCTCATGAGGGGAAGAGGAGGAACAGGGTCTGAGAGAATGGCCTGAAGTCCTGCTTGGAGAGGTTTTGTTTGGATATCAGGAAAAGGTTCTTCATCCTGGGGCACAGAAACAGGCTCCCCAGGGAAGTGGTCACAGCACCAACCTGACAGAGGTCAAGGAGTGGACAACACTCTCAGGCACTGGCCAGGAGATGGACTTTGATGATCATTGTGTGTCCCTTCCAATTCAGCTATTCTGTAATTTCAGTACTCTAAACAAAAGGGCAGCCTGTTGTCAAAATGTGCTGCACTGTGTCTTTGACAGCAGCCTGTGTTTGTGTCAGTGCAAAGAGGCTGCAGAATCACAGCCTCAGCTTTACTCACCTTCCCCATTTCATTGTTGGTGAAGAAAAAAAGAGAAACTTCAGCCCTTGGCTTGAGGGCATGCCCTTCTACATCACCTTTGTCTCCATAGTCCCATGAGTCAGATTGATGCCTTTCCTAGGTAAGCCTGGTAGCCACTGGGGTTCCACAACTATGCTTTCCACCAACAAAAATAAAAATATCAGCAGAATCTGAACAATTTCCTTTCTGCCTAGGACAAATACAAAATATTCTTTTTTTTTTTTTTTAAATTCATGCTCAAAGTTGACTTCTGTTCTCATCTTGTTAGGGAAACAAACCACTAAACCGAACAAAAGCCAAAGACATCTTACCTCCCTTCCCTAGGACAACTTAAGTGCTAACTCCTCTTGGCCACTGCCTCCTCCAGAAGACATAACTGGCTCCAGGTGCATACAATTCCTCTGGCTAATCGTCTCCCTCTGGCATGGCATGTGCTATTACCTCCCCTGTCCTTTCAAACCAGAGGGGTTGTTTTTTTCATAGTAGGTTACATATCACAAGCATGAATCTAACACATGTAAAGTTTATGGTAAATAGAGAATGGAAAAATATACTGGAAAATCCTCAGTAATGTCTGCTGTACAGGAAGCATTACTTCTGTGCAGTATATTGAAATAGGCATTCACAGAATAGGTAGGGTTGGAAGAGTCTCCTGGAGATCATCCAGTCCAGCTTGCTGGGGACAGATGGAAAGAGTCTCTCCTCTTGGCACCAGTTTTGTGATACTTAATGTGCATTGATGAGATCCTCTCTCAGTCTTCTCCAGACTAACCAGGCCCAGCTCCTGCAGTATCTCCTCATAAGAGAGATGCTCCAGATTCCTCATCATCTGTGTGCTCCTTCACTGGACCTTCTTCAGTAGCTCTTTGTCATTTTTGTCCTAAGGAGCTCAGAACTGAACAGAGTCCTGCAGGTGGGGCCTCAATAGGTCTGAGTAGAGGGGAAGACCACACTCTTCCTGATGCTTCACAGAGTACCATTGTCCCTCCTGGCCACAAGGACACGCTGCCAGCTCATGGTAACTTGTCACCCACCAAGACTCTCAGGTGCTTCTCCACAGAACTGCCCTCCAGAAGGTCACCCATCAAACTGTGCTGGGACTTGGGGTTATTCCTCCCCACATGCAGGACCCTGCATTTGCCTTTGTTAAACCTCATTAAGTTTCTCTCCAAGCAACTCTCTGGCTTATTAAAGTCCTATGGAATGGCAGCAGAGCTTTCAGGTGTATCAGCGACTCCCCCCAGTTTTGCATCATCAGGATATTAAAACAATCCTCAATATTCCTGTAGTAAGATTGGTATTATCAAGGCTTTAACTTTACTGAGGTCAGGTTTGCTGGCATGAAAGGAAGTATTTCTGTGAACATGAGTGGGGATTCGATGAGGGTTAATTAAAGAACGCCCTGGAGTTGTATGAGATTTGCTTTCAGTAGTGACATAAAAAAGAAGTAACACAGTTTGGATAGACTTAAAGTTTTAGGTTTATGACCAAAAATCTTCTCACAGGATTTCAGAACTATAGAAAAGCACTGTGCAAGCTGGAAGGATTTTTATGTTGACATAATGGTTATATCAGGAATAACGAGGAAAACAGAAGTTGCAAAAGCTTTCAGATTCTAGCAGACAAACCAATTTAAACAATAAGAGGAACCAAAACAGAAGGAACTGAAATAATTTGATTTCCTTAATTGCAGCTGTTTCTAAATAATGACAGGCATGAAAATTTTCAGTAATTTTGTAAGAGGAGTAACCTGTGAATGCCAAAAGCAGTCTTCTCTTTAATGCACACAGCTGGAAAGAGAACAGGCAACCTGTTCAACACAAATCATGTTCATTCTACCTGCAGACTTCCTTAAAAATCCAGCCCCTTTTCCTTTGGTAAAGTTCTGGTTTAAGTTTTCACTGTCTCGCCTCTACTTCTGGAGCTTCCTCTTTCTGATTTCAACTCATCTACTTTCTCTCCCTAGAAAACTGTTTAACACATTGCAGAAAAATGTATCTTGCTGACTTATGACCTCTATATTATTTTCATAGTCTGCAACCTTCATCTGCCTCTACCGGATCAAATCTTTTCCATGCTATTACTCCCTTCTATCAAAGCACACACTGCTCAGTGCTTGCTTGCAGCTGACCAAGAAGATACGAGGTGACTCCAGCTGCTGGTGCTCTCCAATACTGCACTACTGCTTCTTCCTTTTTTATCGCATTTCTTTTGGAAATGAGAAACTTCCTGTAAAGAGAATCTAGAGTCACTTCAAATTTCTGCTTAAGACTTACTGATGCCTTCTGGTTAACCTAGCAGCTGACAGTGACTCATTGCCCCTGTGTTACTCCCCTTACACTTACTCCAGACTCTCAAGCTCAGTTGGATGCTACCTTTGCTCATTTTCTTATCACCTACTGAGGTTACAAGATCTGTGAGGTGAATGCAGGGCTTTGTTTCCTGCAGTGTCACTGTTGCCTTTCAGAGCCCTTCAGAGGTGTGCGCACAACATCTCAGCTTATGTAAAGCCTGGGACATACATGGCTGGAATCCAGCTTCCTCATGTGTCCCAGAGACTGCTGAACCTATTCTTAGTTTTGAAAACATCCCTGGTTTTCCCCTCCAGTTGAGATAAAGTGGTATGCTTCCTGGCCAGCTGCCTGGGGGTCTTTAATATACTTTGGCTCATTCTATGAGAAAAAAACAGAGTACTTAAAAGACCAGGGACAAAAAGTGACAGTGCTGCATTACAATCCACTTGATTAGGTTGATATGTCTAAGGTTCGGCTCCTTTCTGTCTTCTGTCATCAGCTACAGCACTGCAGGGTTCATCACAGTGAGAATCTCTTCATTGCACCTTTTTAATCATGAAGAATCATCACAGGGTAACCACCTGGAAAATAAATGGTTGCATAGCTGTACACAGGATACAGGTGTGTGCATCTGGTTTTCTTCTCAAAGCCAAACTATAGTCCTCAAAAACAAGGAAGACAGTTGTGCTGCAGAGTGTGACAGCAGAAACAAAGAAATTACTTTTGTTGGATACAGAGGACTAGATTTCTGGGTAGCTTCACCTTTTTCTTTTGTGGTGTTTTAAATCTTTTGGAGTGCATATTAAAGACTGCCAGTAGATATCTATCTATCTATATCTATATCTATATCTATATCTATATCTATATCTATATCTATATCTATATCTATATCTATATCTATATCTATATCTAGATAGATATAAATACCAAATTTGCCACCAGGTGAAAGTTCTTATGTGACCAAGGCAAATATCCTAATAAAAGTAAAGGTTTTTAATTTAAGTACTTTCACTGTTATTTGTGGAAGACTCAGTGCAGCTGCACAGCAAACCACTACTCACATCAACAGTTTTCAAAGAAGCAATCCCTTGGAAATAACAAATATGTACAACGTATAAAGACAAATATACAACAAATACAAATATATACAACAAACAAAGAATGATTGGATGAGTCTGTGCATGTTGCGTTGTTGTCATAACAATTTTAATTAGTCTGGGACCAAGAGTAGACAACACAACACTGTGAAATCATAGAGAAAAAAGTAGGTCTATAAATGTCTGTTGGAAGTAGATTTTTCTATTTGCTTAAATTCTCTGTGTGTGTGTGCACACATGGACATGTAAAGCCATAACCTGTAAAGAAGGAAGGAGTTAAGCAGAGAACAAAAAACAGCAGAAAAAGGCAGGAGGAGGGATGCAGCAAAGCATTGCTTCAGAAATGAAATAGAGGTTCAAAAGCAAGAGAAGAAAGGCCAGCAAGAAAGGATTTGGGCATCAAAGCAGCAAAGGCCACTTCTCAACAAGCAGTGACAAATTGCTCAATCTCCTTCTTTTCAGACTGAAAGGAACTGATGGCAGGGGGCATTGGGGAGCAGGAGATAACACCCTGTAGAGAATTGACAGAGGCCACAAGATCTTAGTCCAGAACACTTGCACTTGCAGGTCACTGCACAGTGACACAACACTGACAGTCAACAAAAAGAAAACAATTTACTTTAGAGATTATCCCTGGAAAATGGGAACAACCATCCAGGGACCCAATGGCCTATGACAAAAGCAATGTCATTTCTCATTACTTAACTCTTTCACAAAGTAATTAATCTTTTCAGAAAGCTTCTAAGCAGGAAACACTTATTCATCTCCCCTAGTCCTTGCTGGAGAGATTTTCACTGGGCAAGGAGCCCAAGTGATCTGAAAGAGTGTGGCCCCTCAGAAATCACAGGCTGCTCAAGGTGACTTAAGGTGGCAGAAGCAAACTCTTGCTATGCTGAATCCTGCCTGACCTCAGAGAAGCCTCTTCCTTTACAACAGCCTCCTCTTCCTTTTCTTAAATTATCACAGTGTATTTCTTATAGAAACATTTTAACACTGACATTATATGGCCTATATCCAGCCATGAAAGAAAAATATAAACTACTACAAATAAAGAAGTCATCATGAAAAACTCTTTGGGAATAACACAGGAGTGCCTGTAAATAATACAAATAAAGGTTTAATAGAAAATAGTCACAGAGAAAGTAACTATGAGAAAACTGATAAGGAAAAAAATTGCAAGGCTATATGTGTAAATACTGAGGAAGCACAGGGACCTTATGATGTGACATGCTTAGAAAATTTGGATTCCAAGCATACCTCTATAGCAGTGAATTTGGTAAAATCTATATTAATCCACTAAAGAATTTCCCTCTACCAGCATCTATGCAGTAGCTGCCATTTCACACAAATCAATTGCTTTCAGTGATCTAAATACTAATCAAAACAGTATTGGGTTATTTCCTGAAAATGGTGCAAATACCACAAATACACAGTATTTGGAAAAAGATTTTGTTATGAAAATCTCTTTTCCTCCATCCATTTTTTCCAATCAGTTTTAATTTTCATGTTTAGTTAAAATTCTGAAGATCCCTCATTTCCCTTTCTTTCAAAATACCAAGGAAATACAAGGAAATACATATAATTTTTCAAAAGGCTTTATCAAAAGCCTTATGCCTGTAAGCACTGGGCACTGGCAAGGCATGGCTGAACCTGGGCTGCAGTCAGTGCATTCACTTTCCAGAGCCAGTTATGT